AACATTGGGTTGAAACAACCCAGCATTTTTTAGAGTGTATGCTTGCATCAGAATTCTTGACTGTCATTGCACTTGATGTCTCAGATCTGGACTCATAACTTCTTTAGTATCTGCTTATTACTCCCAGAAAACTTGTTTTTATTTTTAGCTATCCACTTCAAAAATGAAAGCAGGCAATTGAAAATCTAAATCATTCCCTGATGTGCACTGATATTTATTGTGGTATAAACTTCAATCATTTTTAAAGGCTTTATTGAATTATAATGTCTTTATGATCTTTCCTCTTAGATTGTGGCTGCCATTATGGCTATCACAGGCATTGTGATGATGGCATATGCTGATGGTTTCCATGGGGATTCCTTTATGGGTGTGGCCTTAGCAGTCGGCTCCGCCTCCACTTCTGCTCTCTACAAGGTGAGTGCAGCTGAAAAGAACGATTACCAGAAGATCCTTGATGACCATTAAGACTCCTTTCGTTTTGATATGCTTTATTTATACTACTCAGGTGCTGTTTAAGATGTTCCTCGGCAGTGCCAATCTGGGCGAGGCTGCTCATTTCTTCTCCACGATGGGCTTTTTCAATCTCATCTTCATCTCCTGCGTTCCCCTCATCCTGTACTTCACCAGAGTGGAGCACTGGGGTTCCCTCTCCTCTTTGCCCTGGGGTTACCTCTGCGGGGTGGCCGGCCTTTGGCTAGGTAACATGAAATTATAGAAACTGATTCTTCAGCCTTACTTTAAAAACATTACTGACGAAACTTGAAATATCTCTGGTTTTTATGTTTCAGGCACTGGTAAACATAATGAAATATTAGTGATATACACTACTGTTCAAAAGTTTATGGGGTCAGTAGGATTTTTTAAAAGAATATAATACTTTTATTCAGAAAGGATGCATTGAATTGATCGAAAGTGGCATGAAAGACAACGTTTCAGGCTTTTTTAATTAAAAATAAATCTGGTTCTTTTTAACTATATATTGATCAAAGCATCCTTAAAAAACATGTTTTATAGGAAAAATACGATTGTTTTCAAGAATGCATGATTGTTTTCAAGAATGATAATAATAATAATAAATATTTCAGCAGATCAGCATATTAGAATGATTTCTGAAGGATCATGTGAGTGAAGACTTGAGTAATAGCTTTACATGATCTTTGCCATCACAGGAATATATTATTATTAAAATAATAAAATTTATTTTTAATAACTAATGTAAGAATAGATCACAATATTATAATTATACTGTATCTTTGATCAAATAAAGAAAATAATTTTTGAACAATAGTCTATATGTTAGTTGTTTAAAAACTGTAGAGAAATATGTTTTTGGCAACGTAATGTTGCACCATCTACAGTACTAAATGACAAATGCTAACCAGCTGGGGAAAAAAATAAATAATTAAAGCCTTCAGTTTGTAAACAAGTACTGGCTTTAAATCCTGCTGACAGTTTACCACTTGATCACTGCTGGTTCAGATGTGTGTTAGTGTTGTAGTGGATCAAATACAACCCTTAAGTACACTTCCAAGAGTCCTTTAAGTGCTTAGTAAGTGAGAGAAATCAGGTTAGAATCATCAGTTTACACCTCGAAGTAGCATTTCTTAGATATCCAATATGTGCTGCATCAGTCTATGTAGAGGATAATAGTAACAGATCCACTTATATTTACTGTATATTTGAGCTGAAGTGGAGCTCTGTATCTCTAGGGTGTTTTAAGGATAATATGATATCCATTAACTATTGTCACTCGTCCAAATCATGTGAAGTTCTCTGTGTATTTGGCCACTTAGAGAGGATTGAATGAAAAAAAGATGCTATATGGCCAAACCATAACATAAAGTTCCTGTTTTGTTTTTTTTACTTCGTTCCCTCCCTCCCTCTCTCCCTCTCGTAGTATTTAACATCCTGGTCAATGTTGGAGTGGTACTCACGTATCCTATTCTCATATCCATTGGGACGTTACTCAGTGTTCCAGGCAATGCAGGTGTGTGAATCTATCTATCTATCTATCTATCTATCTATCTATCATAATTTGGTGTTTTGTTGTCATTTTCATCATAATAATTATTATTCTTGATGATTCTCATTAGATTATTATTAGTGTAATACATTATTTTTAGTGAAAAAAAAGTGAAAGTGACGTGACATATGGCCAAGTATGGTGACCCATACTCTGAATTAGTGCTCTGCATTTATCCCATCCAAAGTGCACACACACAGCAGTGAACACACACACCGTGAACACACACCCGAAGCAGTGGGCAGCCATTTTTTGCTGCGGCTTCCGGGGAGCAGTTGGGGGTTCGGTGCCTTGCTCAAGGGCACCTCAGTCGTGGTATTGAAGGTGGGAGAGAGGGCTGTACATTCACTCCCCCCATCTACAATCCCTGCCGGTACGAGACTCGAACCCACAACCTTTGGGTTACGAGTCCGACTCTCTAACCATTAGGCCACAACTTCAAATTTTTCCTGCATTATAGTAATGAGGATTTGTGTGCAAAATATGCTTAACTGACATTATAACAATGTCACAAGACAAGTATAAATAAAAATTGGCATAATCTTCTTTATGCAAAATCAACTGGTAACACTTTGGGCCCTATTTTAACGATCTAAGCGCATGGTCTAAGGCGCACGGCGCAGGTGCACTTAGGGTGTGTCCGAATCCACTTTTGCTAGTTTAACGATGGGAAAAACTGTCGGTGCACCCGGCGCATGGTCTAAAAGGGTTGTCCCTATTCTCTTAATGAAGTAATGGGTGTGTTTTTGAGCATAATGTGCAATAAACCAATCAGAGTCTCATCTCCCATTCCCTTTAAGAGCCAGTTGCACTCGTGCCATAGCGGATTTGCTATTTACACAGCGGAATTTGCAAGCGCGAACACCGAACGCATCTCCAGAGATTAAACGGACCTGCTCATGCGCGAGCAAATAGGTAGCCTAATTCTGATACATGCAATGACTATCCATTATGACATGTAGGCATTTTTATATTTATGTAGCCTACACAATAATAATCTTTTACATGTAATCCTTTCATTTTTAATATTTGGCATGTTTGCGTGCTGCTGTGCGTACCTGTGTGTGTAATAAGCAGATTGTATGTGCGTTGTGAACCCGCCTATACTAACGCGCTCTTTAAATAACAAAAAAAATACTGCGCTATTGACTTTAGACCAGGTTTTAGTTGGTCAATGTGCAGTCTATTTCATTTGCCTCAAAATAGCAACATGCCAACAAAGCGCCTAAACACACCTTGTTTCCAGACCAGCACGCCCATGAGCACACAAATAGGTGCAAATGCATTTGCTATTTAAACAACGTGGCGCAGGACGTGAAAATGATTACTACGTCGGGCTGAAACTAGCAAACAACACTTGCGTCGCGCCTGGCGCCGCATTGCGCCACATGTATGATAGGGCCCTTTATATATAGGGACCAATTCTCACTATTAACTTGTTGCTTATTAGCATGCCTATTATTAACATATTGGCTGTTTATTTGTATTTATAAAGCACATAATCCACTACATCCCTAATCCTAACCAATACATTATTTAACCAATACATTATTAAATAAATTTAACAACTACCTAACTAACTATTCATAAATTAGGAGTTTATCGAGGCAAAAGTCATAGTTAATGGTTTGTTAATAGCGAGAATTTGACCTTAAAATAAAGTGGGACCAACAGTGGTGGCGTTTTAAGAAAACCTAAAGGGTATGGCATAATTCCCTGTGGCCATACATACAACGACAACATTCCTGAACGATTAACCCACATTATATATAAACAAAGTGCATGATGCACTATTAAATAAAATTCACAGTGAACAACATTAAATATAAAAACATGGTCTGTGCAGTTTTTATTGCATAAGTGGGTAACGGCGAGGTGGGAGCTAATCAAAAATACGCGTGATAATTGATGCAAAAAACTCAGACTGCGCACACTCATACATTTATATGATTTAGTCAAATCTGCCATTATGATTTCGACGTTGTTAAAATAATAATAATAAAGAAACATTTTAATGACCAAAACACAGGTAAAAACTACTCTAACCATAATCCTAAAGCGGGATCCAATCAGAGAATTCGCCGTTATCATAACATCAGCGTTCATCGTGACAGACACGCTACCATGAATTGTCACTATTGGGAACCTCGACCTATGTTCAGGTCTGTTCTCCTAAAAATATTTCAAATATTTTAACGAGCATCGTGATGTTTTATCTGAACTCTGAATGCTAGGGTATGGCAACTGCCATACTCTGCCATACGCCAACGCCGCTCCTGGTGACCAAGCAATTTATTATCAGTTTTCTTTAAGATTTAGGGGTGAAATAAAACCCTGACAAGTTTTGTGAGAATCATTCTAAAAGTACAACAGAGCAGATCTCTCAGCCTTCCTGAAAACAACATATGAAACTCCACCTAAGCGAGTTTTTTCACACAAAGCGAAGAACTGCACCATGACAAAGGGGTGGTGACATTGCCAAGGTGACAGTAAATGGCTTAAGAGGGTGTTTGTCTTTAAAAACAGTCTTTCAAGGTCAGTTTATTAAATTATGTGTGGCTTTTATTCAGAAAAACACTCATGATTCACTTGCAACAAACAGTATGAATCATTTATGATTTATGTTACATTACTAATGTTTGCCTGTGTGCTGCATTTTAATGGAGTGTGAATGTGAATTTATAGTTAATTATTATTATTAACCATTTTACGAATTCATAGCCAGTCGGGGGGGACCAAGGCCATTAACTTGATAGGATTTTTGTCTTTATGAGCACCAATGTTAATACTAAAAAAGTCAACAAACAGCCACAGGGTTACAATTACTGTTCATCTAAAGAGTCCTCCCCCTAAAATATCAGTAATTTAATTCTGAACATTTCCTTAGTAACGGTAATGAACTTTATTTGACTGGAGTTAATTGGTTGCGTGGCAGAAAGGACTTCGCCAGAGTCAGTAATTCTCTCCCACTCTTGGCGATTTAGACAGTCTGGGCACAAGGTCACATTTAAATGACAGAAACTCACTCTTGTGTATAGTTAAGAAATTAATAGGAGACTATCAAAACACTGTACTGTCAAAAGAAGAAAACCTGCAACTGTTAATTACATTAAATAAGTAAAACCATTGTACACGGTTTTCACCCAAGCCGGGTTAATATCTCATTTATGCCTAATTAATTGTATAGTTTGCATTGAATTCTGTTCAATCAACCTGAAAGATGATAAAATGGGCATCAAAACATGAGACATATTGTCTCTAGGGACCAGAATATTGGTGGGCCATTTTCAAATGAACCAGCAAGCACCACCTTGAAATTCCCTAGTAACCACCCAAAACACCCTAGCAACCACATAGCAACATACTGTATAAACACTACTCAGAATACCTTGATGTTTTAGACTACCATGAAAACACCTGTGTAGGTGAGCATGTTTTTCAAGCAAGTAAAATGATTCAGATTTTTCTAAAGTGATCCTGATATCACAGCAAAGGAAAAAAAAAGCTTAATTAAATGTAATAAAATATTTAAATAGTGTTTAGTATCAAGATACCATAATAATTTTTATTAATATTTAGAATTAATTTATATTTTTTGATTTTCTGGTTTTATTTTTTAATTTTAGTTAAAGTTATAGTAATTCCGTTATAGTAATTATTATATATATATGTTTTTAAATGTCTTTATAGATTTTATTTATTTT